TCATCAGGGAAAAGATATTTGGAAAAACATATATTCATGTGGTTTATCCTTTAAGAGGAATTTATTATGTCAAGGAAAATTAACGTATGCATGAATCAATCGGGTGTTGTATAAATGAGATGAAAATATTGAAATTCAAGTCTTATTTTGCCTAAAAAATAGTTTGACAAAGACTATGAGGAATAGAGATCATTAAACTCTGGCACATTTGAAGGTCAATTATGAGGTTCGAAAAAGGAAAATAAAAAGAAATAATGTCTTATTATGTCTTTGAAAATAACCAAACCTTGCTAAGGGATTAATAAAACTAAATCCAAACGTGGTTTTCATGACTCGTGCGATTTCAACGTGGTTCGTAAATATGCATGAAAAACAGTAAAGAACTTCCGTTTGGTCAAGGTCAGCGGCGCCGGCTTGCGGTCAGCTCGCTACATTTACATACTACCCAGTACCTACCCACCCACCCCACTGATTGACTAACCGTACATACTTGCATTTGAAATTATACATATGTATGTAGGTAATTATAATATTTGATACATCTAGAATATTCAAATATTTAATACATATGTATATAGTAACAACCGAGCATGATGGATTTCCAAAATAATTATTGTTGTGGTCAAAACGATTGACTCGTCATTTATCCCTCAACTAATGATGTAGGTACATATGTATATGAATTAAAAAACCTTTCCACCAATTAAGTTATGGAGGGTAATTATGATAGGTAAGTAAAGCTTTTTGCCATACAGCGCACAATTCCAGACTTATTCACAGAAACTGTGTGTTTGGGAAATAATGAAGTGATAGGTCGTATCCGATACAGTTAACTGACAGCCGGCAGATCAATGAGATCGCCTAATAATAGGTAGCAAACTATCCGTATCAATAACGTGTTTCAATATCTTTTCGACATTTCAATATATCATTATCCTACATAACAAATACATACGTTTTCGATAAAAGGACAAGCCGAAGTTAGTACTTATAATGCTTATTGCTAACTTTTCATGAGTTGTTTCAGCGTAATATAAGACGAGCCGGTCCATAAAACTGGTGAATTATTTTCATTCCTTGTTACTAAGTACTAGCACATTTCATGGTCGTGTTGAACATTCATTACAATAATTGTCAATGAAGTAGATTCATAACTATGATATCTACTTCATTGACGATGGTCACTAGATGTAGTGCCTTTGAGGAAAACGTTCTAAATTAATAACAGGCTGTAAAACGGTATCATGAAATAGTAAAAGTACACACAATAACCATAACGATACATTAGCGACATGTCAATCATCGCAGAAATTTGGCACTCGTTGTAACCATGCCGCTCATTTGCCAATTTGTGAATACAACAATGTGCGGTATAACTGTATTGTTGCAGTAATAAATGGCCGATATTGCAAAGCAAGAGGTTAATTTCCGGATCGAAGATAGTTCTTTATTTATCTCATGGTAAACGATAGTCGTAGCCTAGGTACACATGGAACAACACCACGGTCACAAGTGTAGTGCTGCCGACCATGTAGGAGAATGATTAACTGCGCCACAATTCTTGGGGCGCCTTCTCCCCGAAAGCAAAATAAATGGGTTTTGCACACGGAACTGTGTGTGTACCTACTTTGATTTCCTAACTTATCTATAAGTATATCTCTGAAATTGTGCCTTTTGTATGACTATAGGTACATACATGTACATAACACTATCTGGTGAACATTTTTGCAGTGTTATTTTGGGTCACTGTTATTTATACATTTGTTATGTAAAACTGGACATAAATGGAAACTCTGTGTGTATCCAATATAGGTGATATCTACTTCAAACGTGTAACACAAGTTGACACTTTAATAATACAATACATGCAGTGTTTGATGCGACTGAACAAAGTAATACAAGGTCTAAAACGTCACGCTATTTAAATATAATTATTTTGTATTGTAACCCGACTAACGAGTTAGGTACCTTTAGCATGTTACCGAATACCTACCCATGTTGGAATTTTCCCGATACTAATCAAGCAACTATATTCAACTGGTTTCATTCAAACAGTTGGAAAAACTAATCGCGGAACTTGTACGTATTCAGATGGCAGTCCAATCACCGTGTTTTGACAAAGGGGCTGCGACAAGTGCGACTAACAAACATAAAATATTGTTACGGGTTCCTCAGAAAAAAATATTCTTAAGTTAACCTAACCTAGAAATCAGGTGATGATTAAATACGCTACGTACCCAGTTCGTTATTCTGTGTTTAGTGATGCTTTCGAGAAATAACAAGCGCTAAGTCACGATTTGGATTAAATATATATGTATAAAACATTTACCTCACTTATGTAACTAAGATCGCACTGAGAAATTATGTGGTGCAAAGGATTTTTTTTAATTCCCTCAAATCTACAATCAGCCGATACGGCTTTAATCAGATGAGATGGGTTTATATAGACGCTAGTTGCTTTCTTTTCAGTCGAGATAAGCAGTTGTGTGAGTTTATGAGCTGTGAAGCCAGATGGTTAATGTGTCGCCCAATGCGTTGTTTGTAAGACCACGATGAACTCTTTATTTCTTCTTTGACTGTCGGAATCTGCAGATATTCGTGCACCTCCGAGTTTCATGTGAATGATGGTGCATTAACCAGTACCTTTAGCACTTTATTTTGGTAGCGCTGGAGGATCTCAATATTTGAGTGGCTTGTCGATCCCAAGAGCTGTACACCGTAAGTCCAAATCGGTTTTAGGATACACTTGTAGATAAGGACTTAATTTTCCAAACTTAGTTTAGACTGCCTACCTATAAGCCAATATAGTTCCACAAACTTTTTATTTGCTTGGTCTCTTTTAGCCTTTATTTGAACCTGCCAAGTGAGTTTTTTGTCAAGGTGCATGCCTAAGTATTTAACTGTCGTGCTTGTTGGCAAGACAGCACCATTCAGTGTTACTGGTGTGCATTGCCCTCTTTTTAGTGTGAATGTTATGTGCACTGAATTAGATGGGCTGGCTCTGATTCTCCACTTTTTTAACCACAATCCTATTGCATCCAGGCATTCCTGCTGTTTTGCGGAGGCTATGTTTGGGTCTTTACTACAGAAAAGTACTGCGGTATCATCTGCATAGGTTGCCGTCACGACGTATCTGAAATGGACAGATCAGCAGGCTAGACTGTATATAGGATGGGACCCAGTACTGAACCTTGGGGCACTCCTGCTTCTATTTGTGAGATACATGACAGAGATTCTTCGCATTTGACTTGGAATAGTCTGTTTTGCAGATAAGATTTCAATAGCATGTACTCAGTATTTGGTAGATGAAGCTTCAGCTTATATAACAGGCCTTTATGCAAAACGCGGTCGAATGCTTGTTGAATATCGAGAAAAATTGCCGAGCAGTACTCTTTTCTCTCCAGCGCTTGCCTTATCGTGTGAGCTACCCGGTGTATTTGTTCTGTCGTTCCATGGTGTGCGCGAAAGCCGAAATGGTGATCTGGTATCACTTTTTGTTCTTTCAGTATTGGTAGAAGGCGTTTCAGAACCAGTTTCTCGAAAACTTTCGACAACAAAGGGACTTATGGGTCTATATGATGTAGCCTCTGTTGGCGGCTTCCCTGGTTTGGCTACCATGTTTATTATTGAGAATTTCCATAATTCTGGGAAATGTTGTAGTCTCAGTATGACATTGAAGAGGATTGTCAGCAAGACGATGCCTTTTTTTGGTAGATATTTGATAACTTCTGCTGTTATCAGATCTAATCCAGGTGTCTTTGTCTGTGTTAGGTTAATTATTGTTCTTTTCACTTCTATCGTTGTCACTAGTCTCAATGGTAGGTGCAAAGGAATTAACACAGATAAAGGAAGATAAACGACTGTACAAGACGCATTGTTGGAGTACATCATAACGATAGAGTTTCAATAACATGAGTGACACTGTTTCAGTATTTGCACTAGCGGAGTCCCGAGTTTTCAACTTTTCACGTAATAAGTCATTATGTATCTATGTCCTTAAGAAAACTACGTCAAGATCATCGAAATATGTTCAATTCTAAACAAACGTCTTAAGATAGAATATGCCATTATCCACGTGCTTAGAAGGGGGCTTACGGGATGCTTAATAGTCGCATTTAGAATTTAGGACACATTTATGACGTGGGTCCACTATATAGCTCTTTCTTCCCTCCTATTAATCTAATATCATAAAAGTACCGGCGTAGGTACATAGGTACTTAATTGTTCAACGGAACAATAGAGATAAAGAGTCTTGAAAACCTATAACATAACAAAGGTTGATGCATACGAAAATAACAAAAGAATCGCTAATAGAGATTCGTGTGGCGACCCTGGCGACGACGCTGCTATTTCACTACTAAAACCCACAATGATGGTGCGATTCGACCTCCAAGGCGTCTTGAAAGTGAAGGGGGCTAATGAATCGCCTATTCAGCCCCTATTCGGGCAATTTCTATACGAATAGGTGAGTCTTTCTGTTAGGTGTGCAAAATAAATGTACGTAATCTGTACTAAACTGCACACGACTACTCGATACGAATCATTCTGATAACGTAGGTACTATCTAACCAACGTCATGCTGAGTAATAAAGGATACAGTCAACGAACTACCAGATAATTAATTTTCTAATTTAGATATTAGTTATTTACATGTGATAACGAAATTTCCCGTCCTTGAGTGGTTCGGTTAGATAGACAGTTGGATATAATATATTGCCGAATGATACCACACAACCACAACCTACATTAGGCGTATTGAGTTTCGACATGAATGGGTATAAAATGATATTCCTTTTCAATATCAACCGAAAGATGACTAATGAACAGTGGCATCTTCCTTTTTGACGTAACTCTACACGTTAAGTAGGATAGGTTCTATGGGTTGTGTGATCACTAAACATATGAAGATGCAGCTGTCCAGCATTCAGTGGACCGTTGTCCTTCGGTGCAGTTAAGATATTCCTGGGACAATATGTGATATATTCTTAGTTATTACTTACCTCATAAGACTCTGGTTGTTCACTCTCAGCGATGCTGGCAAAGAGATGACTTAGAGCTCGAGACATCAGGCCAGTCATGGTATACGTTTTGCCAGCTCCAGTCGCTCCATATGCAAATACGGCTCCAGCGAATCCTTTCAACGTATCACCCACCAGGGGAGCACAGACAGCATCGTATACGTCTTCCTAGACAAAAAAATAAGTTTCATTACTACACATACCGGAGTAATAAAACTCAAGAATGGATAATCCAAATCATATGTGCATAGCTGTCTGACTTACTCGCGTTGTTAGTAATCTAGCTAATAAGTTGTGTTTAGAATAGTTTTTGAGTATACTAATCTGTGTGTCTACTGTGTAAAAATGTCAGTAGTAGCACGGAGTCCGGAATTGTGAATTGTATTACATGGGACTCATCACATAAATAGTGAAAAGTAGGTGTTACATTGTACAGTGGCATTAAGTGCCGTGATGTGCACCTCTACCTACCCCTTCTGGGATAAAAGGCGTGATGTTATGTTATGTTATGTGTAGTATTGAATATAACGCTACTTTAAATTATTTTATTGAAAAACAACGATTTGCATGCTGTTAAAGTGGTGCAATTTGTAACGAAAGTCTAATTAGTGAAACATTTGTTGTTATGCAACATTCTTATCAATGACAAGCAATGAAGTTAAAAGACAGTGAATAAAAACCGTATCTTACGAATGTGTATTAAATATTTATTTAATTTAGTAGCTGCTGATTTCATTGTAGACGGAAGGCCTCCATTGTATCATCAATTATGTAAGAGGTTCATATAACTTTTATCATGACCGAAACAGCAATTATTAGAATCCAACAACAGCAATTACTGATATCGGGTAAATGATCGTTGTTACGTATCAATAGATACTCGTATATCACGTTCTCGTCTGCTGCCTATTTCCTACGCCAAACACGTGGTCGTGATATTATGCGAAGCATTTGGCATAATTATTTGCAGTTGTTTCTACATAGGTGCAACAGCAATAATTAAAACTGCCATTACTCGTCCGTCTACGTGGATTTGGACTTTGAAATTGTAACGAGGTATGCACTCAAATAAACTGTTTTTCCTTCTTTCGGTAAATTCTTTAAAACAATAAAGATATCATCATTACTTTTTTACGTCGGTAAAAGTTAAAGAAGTACTGATATCTTAGTGTGACGTCAATGCATCTGTAATTCAATACGTACTTGTGTGCTGCCTTCGCCAAAGACTCGGTCATAAACGTAGTGTTTGTCGTTAAGCCGGCGCTGACGTAGGACATCTCGACGGCTGTCCGCCTCCTCCTCCAAAACCAGCATCTGATGACACACCTCACGTTATCTCATCGTCCGTCCACAATAACATGATAAACTTCACTTTTATGAGAAACGAATAACGGATAAAAGATCAATTTGGCTGATAACGTTAGCAGGAAGTGTTCTGTTTTGACATCGATCGATATGAATAAGAATGTGAAACTTTTATAAGTGATCATGGCGTAAAATGATATTTGATGTAAATAAATATGGATAAAATATTTCCGGAACGCTTCCTCCACATGAAATTTTATTTTTTCTAAACGAAATGGTTCACAATATTTATGACTCGATACTTATGTGCATGATGCTGAACTATAAATTATTTAATGGAACGTAAAATTATGTTCTAGCTCAATTTATGTGAGAATATTTTACGGACATTATTGTTCATTCAATTTATTTATAAAAAGCAAAGTTGAGGTATTTATAATAATACTCCATTTCAGCAGTATTATAAATGACTAGCTTAAGTAGACATTATCGAAACAGCCTGGTGTGAGCAATAAGTAATTTTAAGCGCTAGACTTGTAACAATCACGCAAAGCCATTTGCCGACCAACCTTTTTGTCAGTTTTATTTGCGGTAGGTAAGTAGTTAGGTGCCTATTTACTTTATTAGCCATAAATCCTCAAAATTGTATCAAGTTTCTTGTAGTTCATTAACCTACTCGAATTGTAATTATTACTTACCGACAACAAAACTCAACCTTTTTTTTATAAATATCTAGCATCATAGCGTACACCATCAATTTGATGGATAAGATAATTTCGTTCCACGGGTATTCTGTTGCATACGTAATACAATGAGCAAACAAAAATCTTTCTTTCCAGCTAGGCCAGTGGTAGTCGCTTTATGGCACCTTGACTTACAAAAGTACTGCTGACGGTCTGATTGAAATTAATGCCTTGACTTTGACTTTGACACCTAACCTACCTAGTGCAATGTGCAGTAGATTGATAATATTACGTAATCAACTATTGCCGTACAAGGAGTGATAAGACCTATACAACTAGCAACTAGTATGATAGACGCATGGGTGTATTAGGTAATGCAAGTGTGTAACCTTATCGCTGACCACGTGCACGATGCGGGGACCTTCATCTGCTCGCTGCGGGCGCACGCGCACCGCCACCTGTTGCAAACGCATTTATAAAATCTGTTGCTATCTAAGTATCTACTAATGCTAATTACGATCTCTCTAATAACTACCTCCAATTTAGTAATAACTACCTCCTATTTATTAATAGTAATAGGAGGTAGGTATTACGGCTTAGAAGGCATAATTATAACACACAAGCATGCCTTCAAAATATCATAATTAGGTATACATATATTATTGCATTATAAATACCTACTCTTTCAATTTTTGTTTTGCTATTTGTGTAATTTAAGATGTCTACGTATACCTACAACCTAAGGCATATATTTTTTTTTGTTTGAGTGCGGAAAGTCTATTAATGACTTCCCCCGCCCGGGTGAGGCGAGAATGCAACGTAAAAAGTTAAACGTGCAAGAAAGCTGCAGACATCTATAAACAGCTAGCACGAGCGGCAAAAGTGACATGCGGTCTAAACGGCGAGATAACGAGAACAATCTACGTCGCGGTCATTGAGCCAATTGTGCTTTACGCTGCGAATATATGGGCCCTAGTGATGGAGCTCTTTTTTTAAGGGGCGAATATCATCGAATGACTTCTCTGGCCTGGGTGAGGCGGGAGGGAATGCCGCACTTCGAGTCAGAGCTCTGGCAACTCGTTAAGTCTTCCGCGGCTCCGTATGGGCATCAGCCCCGTTGGGCCCCATCTGTGGTGGTCTGATGGCTCCTTAAGGCGCGCGCGGATCGCGACGCCCCGTACGCTCGAGCCTGGCTCTGGTCGGGTGGCGAGTTACCCGTGCTCGCCGTGCGCAGGCCCGTGCTTACGGTGGCCAGAGATCGTCTCGCGATCTCCGACGCCCGGAGTGTCTTTCGCGACGACCGGGACGTGAGGAGGTTCGTTCCCTCACGCGCTGAACGATGCATGACTGCACGTACCCTCGCTCCGTACGGTCTGAACCAAAGCCGGACGCGAAAGGTCGCCTTCGCTCATCACATCCCTGAGGACACGGCGGTGCTCAGCCCACGCAGGACACACCGCCACCGTATGCTCCACCGTGTCCTCCGTGCGATCGTTGCAGTGATGACTCCCGGGCGTTTCCTCCCGCCCAATTCGAAACAGGAACCTACCGAAACTACCGTGTCCGGTAAGCACCTGCGTCAGACGGTAGGTGAGGACGCCGTAGCGTCTCTCAAGCCACTCCTCAAAGAGGGGACTTAACCTATAACCTATGGCTAGATTTAAATATACCTGTTAAATTTTCTGCTAAATAAGCCCCTTTACGAGATTGTAGTGCATTTGATTCCTAAACGACAAGGACGCTTCGCAATATTCGATTAGTTCAATTTCGGTCCATCAAATATGAAACAAATTTGTTTGAGAATATTTGTCAACTAGAATATACATACGACGGGCCCAGTATTACTGAGATTTGATTGATATCATCCTCTTAAAATTGTGAGATATCCATTCCCCTCTCAAAATGGCCTTGCAATTGCAATTATAGTAGGTGCTATCGTAAAAAAACCTTGGTAATTGTTCATAAGAGGTACCTACACCTAATGTGTGTTAGCATTCCTTATTTTACATTTAAACATACTAAGAAAATTGCTAACCATTCGGATAGAAGTTGTGAGATCTCATTTAAAGTACCTCAACTTGTAAGTTGAGTTTCATATTTTAGTCATTCATTCATTCAGTCATTGTTAGTCTAATATCATTGGTATTACTCCAGATATGCTTAAGTTTTATACCTCATAATATGAAAGATGTTTTCCTAAAAAGTGCACAACAAATGTCACAGTATAAATGTTAGAGAAGCATATTTCAGAGTTAAACATAAAAAAATTTCTTACGTTCTATGAATTTGGAATAACGATGTCTAATATAATATTATCATTATGTATTTGATGATTACAACTAGAAAATAAACTAAAAAAGTAAGATAATTAAAAAAAGAGGTTTAAGTCAAGCGCGTTTCTTTATTATTTATTCTGTTTTATAATAGAGTTACCGTGGGCGTCATTTGGAATTTACTAAAAGTTAAATGTTTTAATAACTGTTCATTTCCGTCTATCCATAAGGGATGTATGAAAGGAATTCGACAAAAATGTTGGATGTGATGTGTTCTATAAACTAATACAAGATTATGGTCTAATTACAAATCACCCTGTATACCTTGTCCTTGGTGAGCTTGTAACTCAACGTATTCCTCTCGGGAGGTGATAATACGTCTAATTCCTCACAAAAAAAACCCTGAGTCTGAAAGTGGAAATTATTTCTGAAAGTAACATAACATAACATAATTCTTTAGATATTAATATAGTTATGTATACCATTTACTTAATTTTCAGATGTAATGTCAGATGTAAATATGTAACTTTCAGAAAGAAATCATTCGTTCTAAAGTAGCTCGTAAATAAGTGTCAAATTTTGTTTTTAATAATTAAATGGTCAACAGAAAACTGGATTTATTTTAAAAAAATTCTTGTAAGTACAACTAAGCGTACAAACTACTAGATAAACTTCCTTGGTTTATTAGCTACCCAAAAACATAAAATTATTTATTTTTCTTTACTTTATGATAATTGCTTAATTACCAATAATAAATGAAACATTACTTATTCCTAGATTGTTATTGAATTTACTAAGTGATATTTAAATATGTTTCTGCTTCTGAACAAATATTATGAGGTATCTAATTCCCGTGCCATTGTGTAAGACTCTACATAAAATCACGAACATAAAATATGCAATAGAAGTCTATTGCATATTTTATGTAAACATGTTGCAAGTGCAACATGTTTAGTCATTCATTTTTTACAGTATTTAGGTACCTACTTAGTTTACAATTCGAAAATTTAACTAATCTAATTGAACTTGGGTGTCTGCCTGGAAAGAATGCATATAATTTGATACGTCTTAAATATGCAAAATACACTTAACAGGTAGATTTAAATAATTAGTTCACGCCAAGCATTATTTACGTATAAAAATACATAAATGTCTAGTTACCAAATGGTAAAATGCACTTAAACAGCTTGATTACGTTAACATGCAACGTTACGATAATTAAGTAGCCTTTACCAAAGATATAATGAACATTTGTTAAAGTAAATAGCTTAGGTAGATATATAAATTCTTAGGTCTATCTACTGGTATCTATACGTACGAAGTACTTATTAGGTAAAAGTATGGGCATAATTCAGATATTAAGAATAAATATATTGTTAGACTTAATGCCCAAAAAATTCTGACTAGGTATGTTTATAATATTTTATTTACCATAAGTTTCTCTTCGGAGACAGTGCGGATGCTGCCATGTGATCTCTCTGAGGCAGCCACGGTGCTTTGAGTCATGGCATCACTTCCTTTACTCACACGCATCCAAGCACAATGACGACCCAGCTCTGCTGTGCTTATTAACTACTTAATACCTCAAATATTCCCTATACTTGAAAAGTTAACCAAAACGTAAACAATGCACACTACTATACACACGAATAAATAAATAAATTATTAAGGACAAAAGCTGATAAAAGTATGTCCTACAAATAGGTACTACAGGTTTTTAATTTATAACGTCAGGGCGTCGAATAAAACGGCGAAGTCAAACGTTCTCCGCCTGCGTCACCTCACGTGGACTGAACTCTGGTCAAAATACAGCCTTCGCTTTGGGCGGTCGCTGGGGCAACAGCTAATCACCACAAATAAAAGTTTCATGCGCCGTCATGTAGACTGTTATAATTACATACCTTCCTATATATTGGGAACTATGCCAATATACCATAACTGTTTTATGGGATCGCATTTAATGTCATAAAATTTTAATTTTCTCGAAGTCTAACCTACTTGGTTCCATTTCCTGTTTACTTTTCCGAACGGTTAGTGAGTGGCTTACCTACATATAGGCAATTAACTTTACCTAGCTGCGGTTGATTTTCAGGGAAAGAGTAAACCTTTCACTGAAAGAATATAGAATGATGTTATGGTACGGAGCTGTCGAAAACGTTTCGTGTGATTCCAAGTAAAAGTTAGTTTCGGCCAGAAGTTAGTTCGAACTAAGTTGTTCCTGTGATAGTTTAATTATTAAGTATAGTTTAATTCGCAAAATCGAATGGATATGGATTCCTATCCACCACTTTCCTAGTGGATAGATACGTAGGAACCAATATACATTATCAAGTATTATAATACTTTAAGTTTAGAAATTGACGATGAAATAACTATTCTAGTATTCAACTAACTTTAGACTTTTTGGATCATATGACTTTCGTTTGTACTAATGTACATTATTCTAAGTAGACACCTAATTAGTTCCTTCATTTGGACTTATGCCAAGTACGGTGACAACGACCGGCCCCGTGTTTCCACGTCCAATAGTTTGACAAGTCTCGTAAAATTCCTCAATTTTTATTTTATTCATTAAGTCTCTGTGCTCATAAGGCGCAGCGGCATTTTCAGGGTCTGCTGACAAAAAACAGCATTCTAGTTTTAAGTTTTGATTTTTTTCCACGTGAGCGATCGATGACTACAAACTTGCTAAATGTAGGTAATATATAAACGTTTTTTAAGTGGCTGAAAATCAATGACTGCTCCCACTGCACCACCTGGATGAGGCGGGAGGGAGTGTCAGACTCTTACTGACTAAAAACCACCCCGTTCCTACTCCTGCTCTTCAAGCCGGAGCCCCAGCAACCCGTTAAGCCCTTATAGCTGCTCCCGCGACTTCGACCGTGTATAATAATGACATGTGGCAAATTTTCGATTTTTTTGTTAGTCTTCTCTAAGTTTAATTACAATGCTGTGTAGTGTGTAACAAACATCATCAGAATCAATTCAGTTATATTTATTGTGAAATGTTATTCTTTTTCGTTATTTCAAAAAATAAACAATGCTACAGGGATTTTACCCGTATAGTATCTATTCTCGTGAGGTGTCAGTGATTAAAACTCCATTTGAATTCCACTCAAATAAGTTCAACACTTTAAAAAATAGAGAGACTCAAAAGATTAACGCAGTTCCTGACCAGTGGTATTTCTCAGATAGAACAATCATACGTGCTTTCTAGTACAAGTGTCTCAAACTCACGTTGAACCGAATTTCATTAAATTAGTTTAATAATATTAGTATACAGCCTCTTTGCAGACTTAATGCTACATTACGAAGACAATAAAACTTTGTCAATCAACTATTTATTTATTATCATGAAACTTTCTTGTCAAAATTAATATGTGATATATTATAATAATATATGATAACATAGAAATGTGAACTTAATATTATTAACTAGTTGAGCCCGCGACTTCGTCCGCGGGCAATAGTGATTCACAGCTTCTCCTCCATAGTTGATAGCATGATAATATGTAGCCTATATGCTGACCCGACCTGTTAGTAATATTCATGCAAAATTTGAAGTAAGCCCATGCAGCACTTTTTGAGTTCATCCCGGACATATATACATACAGACAAACAGAAAAAAATCTAAAAACCGAATTCAGCTAGTTAATGATGTTGATATTGATATAATTGTGCGTGTCTGTTTGTTTTGTTAGAAATTGATTTAATTATTGAGATAGTTGAAAGGATTGAAAGTAGCATAGGCTACCTTTTGTTTCTTTCTAACCACTTCCTTAAACTGTCAAACACCAAGCGGTCACCGGTGACCGCAACCTATTGTTCTATAATTGTGTCTACAAAACCGGTACTCGACGAGTTAAACAGGGGGTGTAAGTTTGAATGAAGAAATTCGTAATTTTCAAGAAACCTAACATTGGTATCACATTTGTGACCAACATTGGTGCCCGATACCAAATTTTATTGTAAACCTGCCCTCAATACTTAAAAAGAACGCGAGCGATACCGTGGGCACAATTTTTTTCTTTAAAATCTCTGATTCTGATGTCGCTAAATACTATTATTAGTCCTTGAAAACAGTTTTCTATTGTTAGTCAAAGGCTTAACTCGTCGAGTACCGGTTTTGTAGACACAATTATAGAACAATAGGTTGCGGTCACCGGTGACCGCTTGGTGTTTGACAGTTTAAGGAATATAAGGAGTTTTTGGTTGACAAAATAGCTGTGAACGTGGTGTATAAGGACATTTTGTAGTAGGTATTTTTACATAAGTATTGCACCCGTGCGAAGCCGGGGCGGGTCGCTAGTTAATTATAATTTTAGGTTTCTTGAAAATTACGAAATGCTCCATACTAACTTCCATCTCCATGTTTTAGGGAATAAGTGGGTTAGAAAGAAACAAAATGTCGCCTATGCTACAATCGCATATGTTTTCAATCCTTTCTAGATACTATGTCCACTCAATAAAAAAATCACGTCAATATCTAACAAAACAAACAGACATACCTACCTACACAAATTTATAATATTAAGTATACCTTTCTATGATAGATTTGACCAGTGAGTTTCATGTTAAAAGTGTGTTAAATGGATCATTGACAATTTATTTTTTATGATTATCATGATATAACATTGATATAACGTTAAGGTATGCAAAGAGGCTGAATACCAATTTTATTAACCACTGAACGACAGTTTGAGACACTGGCACTGGAAAGGAAATCCCACGGGACAGGAACTATGCGTTAAAATTCCGGGACTCTCTATTGCTTAGACCAATGAACCTATATGAGTGCAATTCGGTACATCGATAGTTTGAGACTCGGAAAAAGACGCCTGATAATTTTCAACCGCTGTATTTTTTGACTATACGGCTAAAATTGTGGGATTGTTTATTTTTTGAAATCACGAAAATAAATAACATTTCACAATAATTATAACGGAATTGATTCTGATGAGATTTGTTACACAGCATTGGAATTAACCTTAGAGAAGACTAATTAAAAACTCCAAAATTTACCAGAAGGCATTATTATACCTCCTGTCCTTGTGTCCTGTGTCCTTGGGACCTCAAGGCTATTTTTGTAGGAAATTAATTGTATTATTACCTCCCGAGAGGAATCCGTCGAGTTATAAGCCAAGAAGTAAGAAGTAAGTAGTTTTTTATGTTTTATAGTTTTAAATGTATTAGTATATTTGACGTTTTTAACGATTTGACAGTTGACAGTCACAAACGACTGACAACCGGTTTTGTTGTTTTGCAGATATGACAGTTTCAAAAAATAGTCGGACTAAAATGGACGTATTCGTCTGTTTGTCGCTTCACATAATTAATTTTAATCAAGAAGTATTAAAGTAATACTTGTATACAAATAAAGAGGTCTTTTTGGACCAAATTTTACAAAGTGTGTCTTGGAATTGAATGTCTAAAATAAGGTTGGTTTGGTATTACATTCATCTTTAACAGTAACTAGGAATAAAACATATTACCTCCGTTTGAATTAAGTATTTTATGTATAAATCAGTATATACAGATATAGTAGAACTGAAAGGAACAATGTAATAAATAGTTATACAGTGAATAAAACTAGAACGGAATAGTGTGTTTCATTTTCATATGGTGATGTTAAGATATTAAATTTTGAAAACATCTGCTTCGGGTTTTAGTTCACACAATGGGCGTCCAAAAAGATTCAGCAGGACGGAAGGAAGTAAGAGTACCAAGATGGTATTTCGGAGGACTTTCGGCGGCTGGAGCTGCTTGTGTCACTCATCCATTCGATCTGCTGAAAGTTCAAATGCAAACTCAAAAGGGGAAAATTTCCATGTCTCAACTTATTGGGACAGTTGTCAAAAATGACGGTAAATATTTAGATTCTTCACAAATAACACAGAACATTAAGGAATTCAAAGACGACTGTTATAACATAAACATTTAAACGAAACGAAATTTACGTAAATGGTGCCTTAGAAATGGTAACGGCCTGGGGGGCTAGTAACAAGCTTAAGTGCAAGCAAAACCAATGCAATGCTGCTAACAAGAAAGCTCGCCTTTAGCCCTCCAGACCTGTACAGTGTACATGTCTTCAAAGCATTTATTTCAATTTAAACCATATTTTGGTACTTTTGAAACGTCAACAAATACAAAATAAATAATGGTCTGTCAGTCAGTCCGTCAGTGAAGCTAGGTGAAGCTAGGTGCTCATTCGAAAATGTAGATTCGAATGGAGAAGAACGAGTAAGAAACTCCATTCGTTACTCTTTTTTAAGAAGTGTGTTCTACAATGTCTCTGATACATATTCCAATACTGTACGTAGGTATATGTGAGAACAATGCAAAGACACGCTTGACGCATTATACTAATTAAAACACTTACGAAAATAAAAAACTTATAGTCTAACACGGTGCACGGAGCAGGGGAGAGTGGTTCGATTTTACTGGTTGAGAACCCATGTTGGAACGGTCGGCTACTGTACTGTACTATACTGGACGAACGGATAATATCACGGCAGGCTAATGTAGAGTACCCATGTCCTATGTGAAAAAGAAAATTAGGGATGAAACCATCCGAAACTGGCGGGATAGATATACAACCTTCACTACTGGACAGGTAACTAAATCGTTTCTCCCAGATATCAATGAGGCATATCGTTTAGTAAGATCGACAAAGTTGACACCTGCCTGAAAGAAACAGCACCCTAAATAACAGGAGCCAAGTGGTCAGCTTGGAGAATGTATCTGATATATGTATATATAGCACTGACGACTGCTGATCCGCTGATTACAATAAATGAGCAGCAAATTTTCACGGTACCAAGGGAATACATATTCGGGGAGTTACTTTGTTCATGAACACCAGCAGCGAAAGACTGGTGACTGGCCTTCTGTAATACCGCTGATCAGATATGGCTCACAATCTCGCCGGGCCTTGCCTCCCTACTAAATGCAGCACTTTCAAAACAAACATGAGACGCAAGCCTTATGAAGCATGAACCTTTGACAGCTTTGTTTCTGGCAGAAACAAAGCTGTCAAATGTTGCGAACGCGCAATAAAACTGGCTGACGCACGGCTTTGCGGATGGTGGGAAGGGGTGGTCGCACTCGCGCGCCTATTGGCGCCCTGCGTAACTTTGCAACCACAGCGAATACCCCTAGACTACCTTGTGCTGATATTTAAATCCCGCATTAGAGGAATAATTTAATACCTAATTCTGAAAGTCATAAAATCAAGTTGATGAACCTATGGTCATTATCATACTGGGTATTCGAAATTTACATTTAAATGCTTTTGTAACAGTCATTATAATGAGTATTTATTATAATTCTTCTAATAATATTAAAACAAAAATAATGAATTTAATAGCCAAAGTTAACAATCTCATAGAAACAATAACAGATGAACATCAAATTTAATCCAAAGAACTTTACAGCACCTCACTTGTTGTAATATAAAAGTAAGGTTGTAATTTAATCAATACCTTGTTTCCAGGTATCCTAGGACTATACAATGGTATATCAGCCGCTTTGCTTAGACAATTAACATATTCAACAGTTAGATTTGGAATATATGAAGTGTCTAAACAACATTTCACACCCAAAGATGTAAGCACCTATCTTTTTATAATAAAATAACCAATTGGACCCGGGTATGTCCTTACAGCGACCAGCCACCGAGGACCCATTCCTCGGTGGCTGCAGCATTCCATAAATACATCGGTGACCTAACAGCGATCCCCAAGCCGCCTGCCAAGCGTGGGGATTATGGCAAACGCTTTGGAGGATGATTTTCAAGCTCTTGAACTGGAGCGGACGGGCAATCAATATCAATGGCGAATACATCACACACCTCCGCTTCGCCGATGATATAATCATCATGGCGAAGTTGCTGGAGGACCTAAACGCCATGCTCAGCGACCTCAATACCGTCTCCCAACAGGTGGTGGTCGTCTTAAAATAACAATGAACCAAAATCATGTCAAACATCCATATTGCACCTGTATCGGTCATCGTTGGGAACGATATCCACAAAGTAGTAGACCCAACTTAGACAAAGAGGTCGCCCAATCCAAATCGGATGGGCAGCATTCGGGAAGTTACGCGAAATCTTTTCATCGGAAATCCATCAGAGCCAAGACCGGTACCGAGACGTGGTCCCTGACCTTTGGCCTTCTGGAGAAGCTCAAAGTCGCACAGCGCGCGATGGAGAGAGCTATGCTCGGGGTTTCTTTGCGCGACAAAATCCGAAATATGGAAATTCGCCAAAGACCTAGAATTACCAACATAGCTCGCAAAATCTGCAGACTGAAGTGGCAATGGGCAGGCCACGTCGCTCGACGGACTGACGTAGAAATGCCTTGAATAAAGACCACGGACCGGAAGACGAAGGGTGGGTAGACCTCCTGCTAGGTGGGCCGACGACATCGCCAGAGTTGCGGGAGCCATTGGACGAAGGTGGCGGAATGTCGCTCGACGTGGAGGACTAAGGGGAATGCCTTTGTGTTTGATAACGATAATGAAGAATCCAATCAATATTTATTTCTGATTTTGTAAAGTAATATTTAAATTAACTTTATCCTGAAATGTTTTGTAAATGATAAAAATGAATAATTCACTTGTATTTAACTTCTTGTCTGTCTTAATATACCATTTTCTTGTATCTCTATTTTCAGGGTAAGCCTATTCCATTTTACATATCTACACTTATAGCTGGCGTGGGTGGATTTGCTGGTGGTTTTATGGGGAATCCTGGAGATTTAATCAATGTGCGAATGCAAAATGATGTGAAACTTCCACCGGAGCAAAGAAGGAAGTATGTAGACAGAGTGTCCCTGAAGTCAACGATCAAATGGCACCAGGTAATCGACAAGGTTCCAAGAGTTATCAAAAAAAAAATAAAAAAATTCCAGGAAATGAAGTTTTTAAATTACAATGAATCCACAAAAAAGTTTACCCTGTGTGCCATTCTTTTTACTCTTGTTTCATTCATTCATTGTCTGTCTACAATAATTGTTGGTCTATATTTTTGCTTACGTTATTCTGAATTGTGCTACAGTATACCCAATGGAATTATAAATTCTGAGCCAACTGTTTTAGTTTGAAAAGAATGATGTTTTTTGACGAACAAAGTGTGCTTAGTAAATGTTTCACCTTAATTTAATTGACTGTACTGAGTAAAATTTGGACCGTGCTAGTAGGCAATTTTCACTAAAGTTGGCGCATTTATTAAGGATTCTAAAATGATATGCCACTCCCTATATTAATGCTTAATTTGATTTTTTTATATTTTCCTGATAACTTTTGGAATCTTGCGGATAACCAGTAGCCATTTGATCATCGACTTCAAGGACACCCTGTTCGTGTCAACTACGATAAATTTACATCAAAACGGCTGAAGAGATTGAGATGAAATTTGGAACAGGGTTTGTAATGCGGGCGAAGCCGCTGACAGACGCTAGTTTCCTATAAATTAATTATTCATTGTTTCAAAATGGAATATTTGGCTGAAGGAAAATAATGAATACAGGCTTGCAATGGAGCAATTTATTGATTTTCCTATTTAGTACTGGGTACTAAGCCCAATATTGGAAAACACATACAATGAGATAAAGCATTGCTTCATCACTGCAATCAACACATAAATTCTAGGTATGTAGTAGGTATTAAACAATTCGTAAATTATTACAGTTACAAAAATGCTATACATGGATTATGGAGAGTAATTACAACTGAAGGCATAACACGACTTTGGGCAGGCGCACTTATGAATTGTGGCCGAGCAGCTCTCATGACAATAGGACAAGTGGCATTCTATGACCAAATCAAGTTACTACTTCTTTCCACTTCATTTTTCCAAGAAAATGTTGTGACTCATGTCACGGCAAGTTTATCAGCAGTAAGGATAGATTTTAGTTTTGTGGTACTAACACTTTACTATGTGCCTATTTGAGAAAATGTGTAATCTTAATTGTTATTTTAATTACTCATTTTTCTAAATGTTGTTCGTTCGTGGTTGTGTTGCTATTTTATTTTATTTATCATGTTACAATGCCCTTCTGTAGCTGAATCTCTAAATGTTTAAATTATTGTTTGCTATTCCAGGGAGCCATAGCAACAACTATAACCCAGCCTGTGGACGTCTTGAAAACGCGTGTAATGAACGCTAAACCTGGGGAATTCAAGGGTATGTTGGATGTTTTCACCAGTACTGCTAAGGAAGGACCACTTGCATTCTTTAAAGGATACTTTCCAGCATTTGTTAGACTTGCACCTCACACTATTTTAACATTCATATTTTTAGAACAACTTAGAATGAATTATGGTATTATCAAACATACTTTTATATGATTTTGTAGTGGTTTTAGATGATGTGGTGTTTTGGAGTAGATTTTTAGATGCATTTAGTATTTCAATATAATTCGCACATCTGATCCTATAAAATGCTGAAACTTGTATCAGATTCTAATGTACACTATGTACTAAGCTGACTTGTGAATCAGTATGACCTGATTAGTCAGGCCATGATTTGATAAATAATTATTGGTAAAAGTCAATTTCCTATACTTGGTTAATCGTTTAGCTTCTTTAAAAGTATAATTATTTATTCTTATTAATAATTTAATGTAACTGGTCTAAAACAAAGACATTTTAATTTCTATATTGACTACTTTAATGGAAGATGGTCGACGCTTAAGTTCCTAGGGGCGTAAAATAAAGTTCAACACACAATTGTCTGTAAACTGGTATATTGGTGATCTAAAAGCATAAACAATGTGCACAATATACAACAAAAACTTAAGATTCGCGATACACACACGATGCGCTTGTGACACAGCAACGACGCGGAACTCGTTGTGACGTTACGCTCCTACGCAAGCGAACAGCTGTCAGTGGCGGGAAAGCGGGGGAAGAATACTCGCTTTCATAATAAAATTATTAACAGCGTCTTCGTTTGTGCAATCGATAGCATCATAAACATGATAGATATCACGCGTATTCCTTATATCACTTCAACGACGTCACGCTCAAGCGCAGTATATTTCTGCCGAAACCCGTCAGCAAGACCTACGGTACGTACGACCTTCCTAAATATCTCGCCAGCATTTACAAGCAAAGCGTGCAGCATAGGGCTCGCGATAGAATGTGTGACACCTGTTTCCAATATGGCCACACTCTTACGCTCAACAAAGTCAATATCTATTAGCGGTTGCGAATCATCATCGTTTACGCCTGCGATAAGTAGGTACTATAAAAATCTACTGGAGAGCGCACTACTCCCAGCTAATCACATCCGTGCCAACGTAACTGAGAGTTACATATTATTATTACTAGAAGTACCTATCAGGTTCTTCCTTCTTATTACAACAGTTATCAAATGTATGTCCGAAAAGTTTACAAAATAAACATTCCGATCGCATACGTTTTCGTACGTTGTTAATATTATTTATGTACGTTTGACGCGGAAGCCTGACGTAACACGGCCGCATCGCGTAAACTTTAATGACGATTTCGAACCTACGAGTTCCGCAACGGTATTTAAAACCGTAAGACGCTGGTGTGTCAGAACGGTCACGTTCAGTTTTGACAATCTTCGGATTATGCTATGTAAAAGAAAAATACTACCTATGTGAAACATCAAAAGTTTTTATAGATACCATTTTCTTTGATGCTTTTTATTATTTTTAGAGTTTTACAAATAATTTATTTTGAGATATTTGTTAATATATTTAGGATAATAAGATTTATTTATTTATTTCATAATAATCATAAGAAAAATCACCATCAAAATTGCTCAATAAACAATACTTGATTGAAATGACATTTCATATTCAGGTGATATTCATAAAAAGACACAATGGGTACGTAGTTTACCTCACCAGATGGCGCTAATGTGAACGTCTCGTTTTTCGTCCAAAAGGGAATTGGGTAGTGTCACGCTATTGCACGTGCAATATAGGGATTGGACAAAAAACCTTTTGCTACATTTGCGCCATCTAGGACCAAAATGCGGTAGCCCCCATTGACAGAAAGTAAATGATTAATTATGGCAAAATGTGCAATTAAAAATAATGATCTGTTTAATTTTGAAATGTAAATTTAAGAATTGGTGTCAAATAGTCTGTCCCTCAAAGGGCCAGGATTCGACATTTTATTTTAATGACGGTAAATATTCGGGGCTGTATTGTTTTTTTTTTTTTTGTTACTGTACTGTGGCAAAATCTTACAAAATGGGGACTTCAAGGATTTTTAAGAAGACATTATTCTACTATTATACAATAGCAGTAAATTGCTATTTCAAAGAGTTTATTTTTTGATGTTTCTTTATTAATCTGCGGTACATACACTCCCCATAAAATAAGGTATTTACGTATTACAGACCCATACATAAACTTATTTCAATGCATTGACAGGTCAGACACAGGCATTGAGGTCAGACACAGTACTAGTGGTTCTTATGTGCGAGTTATAACATTCCAATGATGAATGTTTATATTTGTCTCTGGAAGTCGATATTTGCCTAAGTTAAGTGTCCTTAATACATATCCATTTTATTTTAACAAAACAAAGCATTGTCAGTCGAGAGGACGAGTATCTCATTTTGTTATAAGCAGTTATACATACTTATGACTGTTACTTGTAAAGTAAGTGTTTGAAGAAGTTTAAATAACTTGCGATGTGTATTATCAGAAGATATAAGTATGTACATGACAGTTATTACAGACAATTTTTTCTATGTAAGTATTGTGTACCTAATTCTTCCATTCAAGTGACCTAATACAGTAATCGTTTTGGTCGCATTCCTATACAATCTAATTTAATAAAATGTGTAACCTATTTATTTGATTTTTTAAATTTTGACACTGTTATTACTGTTTTTAGGTAGGTAAATAAATTATTATAATGTATGTTTAAATAATATATATAAGTTCAGATAATCTCGATAATTATTTAGAAGGGGATTTGAACATGTTTGTTAGATAAATGGTATAACCATAAGTCTGTCAAATCTACCCATTGTGACTATTTGATATTACACACGCCAGAAATTATAGACATGAGTAAAATATAGATTAATAAGCAATAAAATGTCTCAGCGTCATGTTTCTCGGATATTTAAGAGCAGTTGCAAATAACTCGAAAGGAAATTAAAATAACTATTACCTAAACATAAAATATCATAATTTCCAGTCATTTCTAATGGCTGCTATTTGGCATGTGATCCAACTTAACTTAAAACTTAAGAACTTAAATATCTCAGAAATGTTAAACTATGGGGCACTATGTTTGAAATATAAATATATGTTTTATTTACTTTATGTCCTAAATGTGTGTAAAATTAACACTCGAAAATGTTAGAAAATATCATAAGGACAGGCTGGTAGCCATACTGCAGACTGTTTCCATTACCCTCTATCCTTAAAAAATATCGACCACATAATAAATATGCTCGATCTGTGTTCTTGACTTTTATTCTGTGTCAGATAGTCACAATTTACAATTGATAAGTTATTGTTGTAAAGTATTGTGTAGGTACTTTAAAGGGAATAAGTATACCTTCTACACTAGACGAAATGTGTCCAATTAGTCATAGGACTTATTCGGTAGTGTTAGATGATGTTTAGAATTCCATGTGGTGGTTATATATTAAAAGTCTTGTTATTGAACATTGTTTTCTTTTTACCATTTTGTTATTTCGTACCTGTATAGATTATAGAAAGTAACAAGTGTCTGCATGACTCGTGGTGACTTAATCTAAATAATAACGTAAGGTAATATTAGTTTGTGATTCATCCAGACAAGGACAGTACAGGATTTTCTACAGTAGCGGTCCCAGTAGCGAACCCTGTGGAACACCGCACGTAATAAACGTGACAAGACGTTAAGGAATCGGGATGACGTTGATGAATAAGTATAGAATAAATAAATATATCTAAAATATAATAAATCTAAAATAAATAGAATAGGTAATAAAATTTTACATATTAAAATTTACCGTACTCTTTTACAGTCATAATTATAAAGTGTGCATCAAACAATGGCACTGAAATGGTGGGACATTTTAATTTAAATAACTAACTGTTGCATGCGTGCCCGCGGCTTCGTCTACGTAGAATAATTTCTTCTGGCATTAGAACCGCTTGAATCCCGCAGGGATTTTACCAATACTGTGCCCGTTCCCGTAAGGTTGGTTTTAGTGATAAAAACTATTTTATCGACTATTGTTGTACCAAATCTATTAACTTAATTTTGCTTATTGCTATATAGCTATAGCGGATAGCCCGCTTTTGAAGAATAAAAATTGATTCTATTTCTGCAGCTTAAACCCACAACAAAATGCCGTACGACATGATGCTGTGAAAATAACAAAAATAGACAAGGCTTGACGTACCTACGTCTGTGAGTAGTCTAACTGCAAAAGCAGCTGAGCTTAATCTCGCCGAAAGCACCTTTATATGCGGACCCCATTGTAGCCTATTATCTAACGTAATGCTTAAAAATACCATCTCTTCAACAAATTAATCATTCAATCATTAATTACTTGGGACGTTTGGTAAACTAAATAATATAATACATTCATTGGTTTTATTCTCATTAAGCGCTAGGTTATTAATGGTAGTGAACCAATTACGCACTCGAAGAATGGAGCCGTTTACATCGTCAAGATAATTCGCACGTCGATCTATTTTAATAATTAATGATGTCTCATCTGCAAAAACTATTCTTGGTTCATTCTTGAATATAAATGGCGAATCATTTATGTAGACTAAAAAGAGAAAGGGACCCAATATTAAACCTTGAACGCCCATATTGATCCCGGAGCCCTGTGAGTTAATACCGTTAACATGAACCTTTAATTGCCTTTCTTCTTGGTACAATTTCATTAGACGGAGCGCGGTATTTCTGTCTCATACTTTTGCTGAAATCATCCCAATCAAACGCTTTTGAAAGGTCACAAAAGACACCAATAGCATCTTGTGCTTCCTGCTATGCACCAAATATTTCGTTCATTAAAGTGACACCGGTGTCAATTGTACAACAACCTTTAGTGAAACCATTTTGTTGTTGGTGAAAGATAGAATGTTTGTAAAAATTATGGAGCATCCGAGACAGCAAACACTTTGCTGAGAACCGGCAAAACAGATACTGGCCTATAATTGTTTGGTTCTTTAGTGTCACCACTTTTAAATAGTGGAATAACTTTACTATATTTCATTAGGCCAGGGAAAACACCGCCATCTATACTTTTATTGAAAATCACAGCCTGATACGGCGCTAGAGTTTGAATGAGTGACTTGCAAACTACCTATTACCGGTAGTCCCTAACGTTCCTCAGTTGATTTGATATTGATTTCTTTTAAAACTTTTATTATTTCTATAAGATTCATACAGGGTGACGCACGTAGTCCTCTCGGGAGGTGATAATTTTATAAATAATTTAATGTTTTTGGGTAAGGTACTTAGCTAATAAACTAGGGAAGTTTTTATAATAATTTGTACGCTTAGTGTAATATACTACGTACCTACTCTATCAAGAAAGTACCGGGAAAAGATCAATAATACCTACACAAAATGTCTGTTATTCATCCATATTTATTTTATCACCTTCAAAGTATGCTCTTTTAGAAACGATACACTTGCGCTAACGAATAATCCATTCATCAATTACATTTTTTAAACGCTGCTTCCGGAATTGAGTTCAGTTCTCGCCGCGAATTCTCGTTCTCGCGCGAAGTAATTTGAGTTTAGGAAAAAGAAAAAAGTTAGCAGGAGCCATTTCATCTATTCATTAAGAATATTATGGTGGTTGCTGGATGATATTTGTTGAGTGTTTGGTCAAAAACTCGTTCACAATGATAGCCTTGTGTGAAGGCCGCATTGTCGTGATGTAAAATCCAAGAATTATCTTTTCACAAATATGGATTTTTTCGTCGAATTTGCTCTCTTAAACGCCGCATAACGCTAAATAATGCACGCTCAGAGGCCTTAGTACGAGTTTGTTTCACGTTTAAAGTAATCGTAACGAGTACGCGTTCGGCGCTCTGATTGGTTGCTTCATTGGCGCCAGCCAATCAGAGTGACGAACGCATACTCGTTTCGAATACTTTAAACGTAAAACAAACTTGTACTAAGGCCTCTGCTTAGTGACTGCACGGTTGGTGCGGTGGCTGGGCATTGGGCAACCGGCTGCCTTACAACGTGTCGCGGGTTCGATTCACGCACGGAACAACACTTTGTGGGATCCATAAATTGTTGTTTCAGGTCTGGGTGTCATTGTGTATGTGAACTTGTATGTTTGTAAACGCACCCACGACACAGGAGAAAATCCTAATGTGGGGCAATGTTATAAAAAAACTTAAAAAAAAAGCATTATTTACCGTTAGACCTTCCGGTAAGAATTCAAAGTACACAACACGGCGATGGTCAAAGAAAACAGTCAACATGATTTTGAGTTTTGATCAACTTTGGCGTGGTTTTTTCGGTTTCGGATTAGTTGGAAGGCGCCACTCCGAAGCTTGTTGACTAGTTTGCATGCCAAACTCATAAACCCACGTCTCGTCACCAGTAACAATGCGTTTCATGAATGTTGGGTCCGAACTGACCCGTTCTAGCATGTCCT